TATATAAACGTCTTAAAGGAGATGGAATGTTTCGTCCATGTATACTCCATCGAGATTTGTGCTTTGAAAAAAAAAATAGAATATTGTTCGTACATAAACAGCTCCCCGTCGATCTAACCAGCGATCCGTAGCTGCGAGACTAATATTTCACAATCTCCTGCACCGCCGCGACAATGTTACGGGCACTGATGCCGTAATTGTCGAGCAGTACCGCTGACGGACCGGAACGCGGTACATCCGGCACGGCCAGCTTCTTTACTATTACGTTTCTTTCCAAAGCGACCGCGGACTGGACCGCTTCTCCCAGGCCTCCTTGCGCGTAATGATCCTCAACGGTGACGATCCTGCCACCAACCTCTTTGGCGTTCTTTATGATGGTTTGCGCGTCGATGGGTTTGATCGTGAACGGATCTATCACACGGATGTTGATCCCAACCTTGGTCAACTCGTCGGCCGCCTTGATTGCCTCGTGCAATGTCACACCGGCACCGATCACGAGCACCTGATCCTTAGCGGAAGATTTAACCACTTTGGCTTTACCGACAGCCAGCGGCTCGTCGTTCTTATACAAAATGGCCGTGGCCGGGCGAGAAGTGCGAATAAAACAGATGCCCTTGGTGTTAGCCGCAAGTTCGACGGCGCGTTCCGTTGACACAGCGTCGCTCGGGTAAAAGATGGTAGAACCTGGGATCGCACGGAACATCGCGATGTCCTCTAAGCCCATCTGCGAAGGTCCATCTTCGCCGATAGACACGCCGCAATGCGAACCGACGAAGTTCACGTTCGTCTGAGATATCGCACCCATGCGGATCTGTAACAGAAGTTAATTATGCATTTATTTATTATCTTTCCACTATTATTGCGTGTTAAATTTCACGAATATAGTTTGCGTCTTACCTGATCGAAGGCACGGGTGAAGAACGTCGCGAAAGCGGATACGAACGCGACGGTACGGTCTCTGCAAGCAGTACCAATGGCGACACCCACAACATTCTGTTCGGCAATGAATCCTTCGATAAATCTAGCCGGATCAACGGCTTTGATCTTCTCGGCGTAAGTGGAATTCTTTGTATCACCGTCCAAAGCTATGACACGAGGATTACTCTTTGCCAGCTGAAATAAAACAATCAAAAGATATATACACTTTGAGAATGTATTTTATTGACACACACACACACGTTAAAAATATAAAAAATGTACAAACCTTTGCAAGAGCCGTGCCGTAAGCCAATCTAGTAGCTACTTGTTCGCCTGATTTGTAATTTGGAGGTGAAGCCAATGTAACGTTGCTGATAGCTACAACGGGAGCATCATCTACAAGCGGCTTTTGTGGATGCAGTGCGAGAGGACCAGGGTTCTTCAGAAGCCCATTCAAATGCTGTAAAATTATAAAAAATATATTTAAAAAATATCGTAATAAAATTCTTAATGCATTCTTATAATATCGATATATATTGTTTGTATATTATATAAATTTATTAATATTTTTAGAGTATAATATACCTGAATAACTTCAGTCGCTTTGTTACCCAGAGGCTTGCCGTGCCAGTTTTCTTGATCTTCGATCTCAGGGAAGTTTTTGCCCTTAAAAGTCTTAGCTAAAATGGCAGTGGGACGTCCTTTTGTATTTTGCGCTTCATGGAAGGCCTAAAACAACATGACTTGTTAAGCACATGACTTCATATTCGCTTAGAAGATCGTATCAATTAATTAATATAATTACTATACCTTCGCCAATTCTTCTACGTCATGGCCATCCACGACTAAAGCATTGAAACCGAAAGCCTCTAATCTTTTGCGGTAAACTTCCATGTTATGTTGCAGCGAGGTCGGTTCGCTTTGTCCAAGACGATTGATGTCAAAGATAGCACAAAGATTGTCCAACTTGTAATAGGATGAGAAATGAAGAGCTTCCCAGATGGAACCTTCAGCCGCTTCTCCGTCACCAATCAAACAGTAAACACTGAAAGATAAATAATTGTACATTATCGAGAAATTATAAGAGAGAAAAAGATAAATTTGAATTGTGGCAAATTCAAATCATTTAAATATCATAATTAATTTATATTGATAAAAACAATAATTTAATTAAATATAAATATAAATCAAATAGCATACCGGTAACTGGCTTTATCGTAATTCTTTCCGACATAAGCCATGCCCGCGGCAACTGAGAGACCTTGTCCTAGTGAACCGGTTCCTACGTCTACAAAATTGAGCCTCGGGGTAGGGTGGCCTTCTAAATCGCTGTCGAATTTTCTCAAGTTCAGTAACTCGCTAGACGGGAACAAGCCTGCTTCCGCCCATGCTACAATAAAATAGAAATATAAAGTATATCATAAAACAATTAATTATTTAAAGATATATGAGCAAATGTTAAAACAAATTATAACAATTAATATTATTGAATTTATTATATTGAAATGTATTAAAATATTTAATTAATAATAATTTCACTGTGTGACTACAATAATTAATAAAGTATCAGTAAATTTACCTGCGTAAAGAATTGGAGCCGCGTGGCCTTTACTGAGGACAAATCTATCACTGTTCGGATCACGTGGTGCTGATACTTTGTAACGCATCGTATGGAAGAAGAGGACGGACATAATTTCGGCCATGGACGAACATGATGTTGGATGTCTGGAGCAAAGCAAAATATAAATCTATATAAAATTAAATAAACCCGAATAATTCAACTATAATTTCAGATTGTCTTAATAAAAAAAAAGTTCTTCACAAGCGATAATTCTTTTTCGAAATATTCGTTCGCAAGGCGATAATTCTGTTCACGTAATCGAACGATATCTGTTTTTCTAAAATCATTTGCTGTCGTGGCAAGGTCAGATCGACAAGTCATCTATCGTCCGAATGTCCTATCTTCGATTATACGCGACCCCCCTTTCCGTGAAGGGTCACAGAGGCAGCGTTGCGATTGCGACATTCATGAATGTGATAAATGTTTGTTACAAAATATGTTATAAAATCTATCTTCTATCATTATGCTATTTATAATTTCAGTCAAAACATAAAGTCGTCTAAGAAACGGAAAAAATAGAGACAAATAGAGTTTGAGTTTCGCTATTTATACCGCATTAAAGAAAAATCGCCCCAAATTCACAGAATCTATCACAATAGTGATTTTACGTTTTGTACAATTTATTTAACTTATATAACTTATACGGATTAAAAATTACAGATAATATTTTGTCTGAGTAAGGAAAAGAGCCTGATATACTCAAGATAGTCCGACAGACAAGTAGTTAGCTGATTATAATAATTTACAATCTCTTGCCATACCCGCTCTTCGATGCCTCAGTCGCTCGCACGGACTCGATACGCAGCTTATTCGCGATATCTTGGAGTTTTTCCATGTTCGTGTCTCTCACCATCGTGAACTGAATTAACGCCCAAGAGTTCTTTGAGACTGTCGACGACAACGAGCGTTCGATCGCGACTGCCGGCGAGACGAGTTTCGGCAAACGAGCCGACTGCGCGCGATTATCTCCCTACCTCTTCAACTCGTCACAACGACGACGACGACGAGGACGACGACGATATATAGAGCGTTCCGAATATATAGGGTGTCCCAAAACAAAACAACATACTAACGCGAGGAGCTTTCTACATTGAACAGTTTCTTCCTTAATATCTCAGAGTATCATCTTCCAAGTAAATCCTTCCACTTCAATTATAACGTTTACTTGAATTTATACCTTAGCTGATAACGGTGCTATCAATTACACTTGTACTTGCGTTCCTCTATCTTAATTGTTATCCCAATTATTCGGGTTCTTCGTGACTCGAAACGATAAACTCTGACAACGTGCGGAAAATCAGGATCTTATCACCTTGTTTCCGCCAATCGTACTGTAGATAATGTATATAGTCATTCGGCAAGGTATGTAAATGCAACTTTACGTCACGGTAAAGTTCCGCAGAACGTTCGCCATACGTAAAGCAATTGATTTGCATACCAGCAATTTAAATGTATTTAGACACAGGTACGTTACATAAACGCAAGTTTCCGTTATTTTATTTTTTGAAAAGGACAAAAGGAATCGAAGAATTTACGTAAGAAAATCTTCATATATGTTAAATAAATTTCGACTTTGAGAATACAATATTCTGCTCTAATTAACCCTCCACTGAGTGTATTTTACACTCCCTACACTTCACAACAGCTTGTAAAAACGCGTGTTCTCGAATCATTTCAATACAGAACTGATTATTATCGAAGAAACATTACAATTAAAGTTTCAACTTGTTATATTAATTATTAATGTACTTCAAGATATATTAAACAGAAAACAAAAAATACTAATTGGTTTAATATTTGTAGCATAAATATAATGTAAGGTGTAATTTACAATCTACACGTCCACTGAAGAGTACCATCTCAACGAACGCTTTGCTCTTTGTAAAATTCATGCAAATTTTTTTGTATTAATACATTCACTGTTTAAATTGTGCACGGTAAATTATTTATTAGAAAACCTAATACACGCTGCCATTATCACGTTTCCTTCGCGCTGCGTGACCTCGAGAAATGCAAGCGCGTGACTTTTTCACTTCTTACCTAGTTCTTACAATCATCCGTGCACAAATTGAAGAATATAAAATAACAATCAACGAGAAAGGATATTCATCAAGTCGATATCCTTACAAGATATACATATACGGCGCAATTTTTCCCTCCGTTGTCAAACGACGTTTTTATATCATTAAGTCTAAAAAGTTCATTAACTCTGAATGTAATAGATAAATAAATTGTATAAAAATCTTTCTTTAATTTTAGTTTTTATAAAATAATACCTCTCACTTCAATCGGTGGCATGATAAACCATTAATTCCTCCCTAACTTTGACGAAAATGGGGAAAATACTGGAAACGCGGGTCGTCGAGCGTGAGAACGCGCTAAACGGTCTCAGATGGAAGAAGAACTAATGAGCTAGCGATTTCTTAAATTAGATCGCCGCCAAGACATACCAGCGGCGGCGGCAGCGCGATAAGAAAAAGTCGAGGATATAGCGTGAGTGAATTTTACACCTTAGCTCGATCTAATACGCGATGTAAATCTAGCATCTAAGTATTATGAGTAAATAAATCACACGTCACGCTCGCAAATTGTTAAGTTCAAAAAGGACACGCGGCGCGCGTATGTTTTTTCCACTCTCCGTTTCTTCCGTTCGATGCATGCACGTCGATCAATGAAATTGTACCGAGTTAGATTATCTATCCCTGCTCCAGATACACAACGTGTAATTTACATCGACTGCACTCTTCCTGTTCATCACCGACGAATAGGGAGATCTCATTCTCGCCCGATTGCAAAGTATAGGAATCTAAACAGAAACTACATTGATCTCGATGCACATTCGGAGGCTCCGTTTTCACGGAAATACGCTCGATCTCTCGATCGTTTTCACACGGAAGATCAAAACTCCTTCCGGAGAACAGAACAACGCGAATGATACTTGACTGTTAAAAAAATCGTACGATCGGGCTGAATCAGCGTTCGCCGCGTTACATAGCTCTCGCGCTTCAATTCATATTAATTATGAACTAGCCGCGTTACGTTTATAGGCGTAACTAACGCGACGCTCTTATCAGAAGTCGCGAGGATGCTATTGGACCATAAATATATACGTGTGACAAGCTACATATACATAGATACATACTCCTTAAGGCTATAAATACTTCTTAATTAATTATCTAATTGTTAAATGCATTGAGAGCGCGCGACCGAGTAACGCGTGTCGGACTCTTTCTAGCTGTCCTCCGCCCTCCGCACCCCCTTCTCGTCCCCCGTCACCTCACCGCCTCACGAGACGCTAGAGGATGAGTAGCGAGTATGAGTATGAGTAACTTGTGTCGTTATACGCACAAAGTGCAAACGAAGCGCGACGTTTCAACGGTCGCGTCGATCGATAACGTTCACGCGGGAGTTTCCGAAGCTGCGATTACATCATATTAAGGCCGCGGTCCACTTGACGCTAGAAAAAGAACAAACATTCTTTGGAGCGTTCTTCTTCTCCTTCTTTCTTCATTGAAAGAAAAGAGAAGAGGAATGCTTCGAAGCATTTGTAGCGTCAAGTGGACCGCAGCCTATGTCACGCAACCGCGCGCGCGCGCGCGCGCGGCACGTTCTCGCTTATCATCGTCACCCGGACCGACGCCACCGACGGCGCCGGCGTCCGGCGATCGCGAGTCGCGTTCGCCGGTCGCGAGTTGCCGGGACGACCGTGTTCGTTTGTATTGTCGCCGACGTCGCTGATGGTTAGGGAAACGCGGATTCGGAAGGCAGACTCACCCGGATTTGCTGGCCTGCGTGGCCTCGATCGCGTGAATCCTCAGCTTGTTCGCGATGTCCCGCAGCTCCTGGATGGTCTTCAGCTCCGGCTTGTGATAGCTCGCCATGTTTTCCGTCCCGCGTGCGTACGTGCGTGTCCTGCGTCGTCTGCGACTCCGTTCCTTGCGTTGGACGGCGGCTCCGCGGCGCTAAGCTCCGCACAGTGCGCACGCGAACGTCGCGAACGCGCAACAAGTACATAGGTTCGCGGGGGCCCGAGGACGCCCGAGGACGCCCGAGGACGCCCGAACGCGACCAATTCCGCGGCCATAGATCAGCCATAGATAGAGGAAAGACCCTTGTCACCCTTGCACAAGCATAAAGGTGAAATTTCATGGGCAGTGAAAAGCAGCAGCAGATCGTACTGATTGGCTGCAAAATAGAGAAGTTCTCGAGTTTCTAGAACTTCTCTATTTTGTAGCCAATCAGTACGATCTGCTGCTACTTTTCACTGCCCATGAAATTTCACCTTAGGGTTGATTTATAATAGCCGTAACCGTTGATTTAAGCCGTAATCTTTAAGAAATTGACCAATCACAGTCGAATGTGAGAAGAATAATCGACTGTGATTGATCAATTTCTTAAAAATTACGGCTTAAATCAACGGTTACGGCTATTATAAACCAACCCTTAAAG